ACAAGTCATTGGTCGAAGTCGACCTACCAGAGTCAGCCAAGCGTATCAGAACATTCAATGTCAGTGACATCAAACTATACATTGAGAACGCTGATGACCTTTTCAAGAAGGAGGAGAGACCAAACTCTGAGCCAAACGGCGAGATCATAGATGGAGAGCTCGAACACGAGGTGGAAAGGATCATCAACCACCGCACCAAGAGGAACAAGAGTGTCGAGTATTTGGTCAAGTGGTTTGGATACGATGAAGCCAATGCAACATGGGAAACATCAGATAATCTCACTCATTGTGTAGACATCCTTCAAGCCTACAATCTCAAGAACATCATCAATCAATCAACAGACGAACCTTCCAAGTCCAAGTCCAAGACTAAGTCCAAGTCAAGCAAGTCTACCTCTAAGAAGAAGAGGTGAGTGTGACGACTTGTCACATACGATTCACGATGTGTCACCATGACTCATACATTCTATCATTGCTGAGTCATCATCCTGGAATCTACAGAACACTATTCCATGTTCCATCTAATCAGTATATATACATCATTCATAATACACTAATAAAGCGGGCATTCTATACATTATACAGTTATACATATATATATATCTATATTTGTTATAACAGGGTCTCAGAGCAGTCGCTGTTGGAACTGCGTGGGCTCAACTCTACTCACTGTTGAACGTTGCGTTCAATGTGAAGAAGAGCCGCAAGATCTCAGAGAAGCATTGGATGTCCATGGCCAAAGTATGGATGAGCAATCTAGCCGCGCTGTATGGCCCAACCAGCGCCATCTCCTACTCGCACGTGTTCACGTACCACTTTGGCTTTTACCTTCACAAGTTTGGAAACTTGGAACTGTTCTCTAACTTTAGCCTTGAAGGTATGATCATGCCGCACACATATCAACAAGTCGGTGACGCCACGACAGTCAGCACACAGCTAACATCTTTAAATATCATTGTAACAGGTTGCCACAAGATTAACAAGTCAATCAAGATCAACGCCACCAATGGTACAAGCAATGGTGTCTCAATGATGACACAGCAGATCATAACCAAGTTCATTCGATTGAGCATGTACAAGAGGGAGTACAGCAAAGCGCTCTGGGACAAAATACAGCCAAAGGATCATTGGGTACTTCACAACAGGAACAAAGACACTCTGGCCGCTTTGTTCAGTATCAAACTTGTGCCCCAAGCTCCTGATCAAGCCACAACCAACCTCCTCAACCTTGAACAAAACGCTGGAGATGATGGAGACCAACCTAATGTTGACCTACTCATACCAGGTGTGCCATCCAACATAACAGTTGCCCAACTAGAGCATCACTTTGTCCATTCATACATCAACTCAGAGGATGTGATGACACATTATATTCTATCCCCACCATCACTTCAACAACAACAATCAGTAGTGACAACAACCATCACAAAGCCTCGAGAGAATACATATCAGATATCCATTCGCAGAGAGAAGATGACGTGCACCTGTGAGTCCTTCAAGTTTGGCGGCCGTCACCGTTTCTGCAAGCATACCATTTCAATCCTACGGATGTTGGAGTATGACGAACAATCAATCCGGCTCTATGCATTGAGCCAAACGACAACGATCAATATACAAGAAACATATCAGAAGCTGCGTATACTCACCGAGTCCACAGTTCAGACACAGGCTCAACCAGTTAATGTCGTCCCAATGCGAGGTGCCACACAACTACAACCGCTGCTACCTACAATCAATGAGCCCATTGATACTACACCACTGCATGACGATGACCATTATTCTGGAGGCGGTGGATTTGGTCCAGACTACTCGGATGATGAGGCGGAAGTGCAACAACATCGACAACAGCTCAGTGATGTTTCCAATCGACATGTGACATCAGGTACATCACATCTACGTCAACAACAACAACAACAACAACAACAACGACGACGCAACCTAATCATTCCTGATCTCGATGACGACGATGACTTTGAACAACTCCAGCAACATCAGCAACATCATCAACTTCAATTGATGTCCTTCCAACAACTACAACAAACGAGTGACATTACCAGTAATACACAGCAACAACCGCCAGCTCAAGCAGCACCAAGCACGTCCGATCAAGAGCCATTGCCAGATCCCAATGTCCTATGCGATCTTGAGAATGAAGTTGACATCTCATTCATTGACTATAGTCTGATGGCCGAGTTGGATACATCAATCCTAGGTTCAAATGTTGGTGGGCTAAACAATGTACATTACGCTGAGCCCCTGTTGGCAACGGACTTTATGTGTATGTATAGGCATTGATCAACACTACACTGAATAACTTACTTACCAATCAATCAATCAATCAATCAATCAATCAATCAAAGCAATGAACG